AAAAAAAATAAACAGCCTCTGAAGCCCGATCCTGTCGAGAAGACTTCTCAGAGCTCTCTGACAGGAGCTCCTGACCACAGAGTGCCAACCACTCGTCCCCACACCCCCACCTTACGTGTCTGCTCAGACTCACACAGGCTGATGCAAGTGCATCAACAACTCCACGGAGCTGAATGTGCTGCTGCCTGGGGCAGTCCTGCACATATACCCCCAATACCAGGTGTGTCCCCATTTTCAGTGTCCTTGGGGCCCAGGGCAGAGTGATGCCCCCCTCAGACTGCATAGCCCAGGGGCCATGACGATGGGGGCTTGAGCAGAAGTTCCTTTGACCACGCCGATTCTGGATACAAGAGGGAAAGGAGATGGAGCAAAACCAAAAGGAACCCACAGGGGCCTGCAACCATAACTGTGGGATTTAGAAGGGTTGGAACTTTCCCCAGCAGCGTTTGCAGGAAGCCAACCACAAAGGAATGACTAGACTCCCAGACAGGAGTCCAGGAAGACTAGATAGGAGGAGACCCCTGGCAATGTTCCTGAGGACGGCCCAGCCCCCTTCCTCTCTCCGACCAAAAGCGCAGGACCAGGCATCACTTCCTGCTCCTTCCCACGAGGAGCCTGGAGGCTGGGGGGGGCGGGACGAGACCAGAGGGCTGTGGCCACTTGGTGTCCACTGCCTTTGACCAGCTCGTGGTCCCTTTCCCACCCCAGGGCACTCTTCTCAGGGTGGGGGTGACCAGAGATTTGGTCCCCCTTGTACCCATCAGTCTCCAGGGCTAAGATGACTCTACTAAGTAGAGCTCAATCCAGGCTCTGAGGAAGCTCTTGGCTCCGGGAAATGGAGACCATGCCTGGCTTTTTGCTTCCTTTCCCTGGGCTGTTGCTGCCCTGCTCCCAAGGCCCAGTGGGCTCTGGGGCTGATGCTCCAAATGGAATGTCCTGGCCTAGAGGGCCTTGGATGCTCTAATGACTTCAGGAGTCCTGGCTCTAACCTTAAGCATGTTACTCCACCCCCGGGCCTCGAGTTTTCCAGCTATAAAATAGGGATAGTATCTAACTCCTGGGTTATTATGATTCAAGGATGATAACAGGAAAATATGTAACCCATCAACTCCGTACTGTCAGAGCAGAATGACTGGCCCCCGACAAGGGGGTGGGGGCACAGTTACCTGACCCATCTGGTACTGCTCCATGCACTGTTGGCCTTGGACTCTTTTCCACCCTGCCCTCTAGTTTCTCAACGCCTGCTTCTTCTCACAAAGTGCCCATGTCCTGCAGGTGGGTTGGGAGAGATAGGCAGCAGCTCCCTTTGGCCAGGCCTGGGTGCTGCTGGGGATGACACGGGCCCGGTCTGTACAACCTCAATACGGCAGGGCCCTTGCTAATTAGCCATCTCCCCAAATTGTACTCCTCTGTGTCCCTAGGTCTTGAAATTTGGGTGCCCCAGAATCACCAGGTGGGGCTTAGCAAAATGTAGATTGTCAATTCTCCGGGCCAGAGGCGACACCTGACGTCGACCTTTTTAACAAGCACCCGAGGAGTTCCTGCTGCCGGTGGTCATTGGACCATCCGTGGAGGACGGCTCTGACTGCTAACACCATACCCCACCTGGCCTTGGAAGCCACAGGTCCATGAACATGACAAAAGTACAACACCTGCCTGACTTTAACTCTGCATTTCCCAAATTTGACCATTTATTTATTTTTAAAAGAAAGCTCTGTGCCCAACATGGGGCTTGAACTCACAACCCCAACATCAAGAGTCACATGCTCTACTGACTGAGCCAGCCATGTGCCCCTGACCAGGAAAGTTTTTTTTTTTTTTTTTTGAATAATTAACATCTCACAGAACTAGTGTTCTGAAGAACGGTTTGGAAAATGTTGATCTGGTTCTCTCTCCTTTTTAAAACTATTTGTTTTAGGGGCGCCTGGGTGGCTCAGTCAGTTAAGCGTCCGACTCTGGGTTTTGTCTCAGGTCACGATCTTATGGTTTGTAGGATGCAGCGCTGAGTTGGGCTCTGCGTCCACAACACACAGCCTGCTTGGGATCCTCTCTCCCTCTGCCCCTCCCGGCTTGCTCGCTTGCTCTCTTCCAAAAATAAACTTTAAGAACAGTAAAAATAATTGTTTCAAACAAATATCTTGTTTTTTAATGTTTGAGTGGACTGAAATCTAGGAAAATTAGGTGTGTTCAAGGTGCTCGACCGTTAATGCAGGACTCGAATTTGGGCCTGGGTCTGTCCTTTACTGTTCCCCACCAGTTTCCCTCACCACTTTCTGCTTCTGTCTCTTTGAGCCTGAGGTTCTCCTGGGTCACCTTGTGTCCTGAGCTCAGGAGGAACCCTCAGGGCAGCGGATCCAGGAATAAGAAATCTGAGTCGGGGATGGAAGGGATCAGGACTCGCTGTTTGGCTGGGATAAACAGCAGAGGCAGTCTGGCCCACACTTCTAAGATGTCTGTACAAGCGCAGTTTGTTTGGGGGTGGGGTGGGGAGTAAGGTCTCTTCCTGGCCCCACTGTAGCTTCTAAGATGGCAATCACCCAGAGAGATGGGGAGTGGCTGGCTGGGTAGGACTGGGGCTGCTCAGTGGCAAGAAATCTTGTCTTGCCTTTTCTCCTCAAGCTCAAAACAGGCACGTGTAGCCATTAACCGAAATGCTTAGCAGGGGCGTCCCTTACCAGGAGGAAAATGGATTTATTGCTTTATAAAAAGGAGTCTGATAAAACTTAAAAGAAAAAACCCAAAAGTAGAAACCTAAAAATCAACCCACCCTGCTGAGCACTCCCAGGAAGTCTCAGACACATTTCTGGAGGCAGTCAGGTGGGGGGCTGGAAAGCCAGGCCCGCCTGGCAGAGGAAGGGCGGCCTCTTCCCGTAAACAGCTCCAGGGCCCTGGAGGAGTCTGCCGGCAGGGGGCGCTGTGGCCCCACGGCCTCAGACCAGCTCCAGGCCCAGAGTGAGGCTGCCTCCAGGACCCTGGGCCTGTGGCAGGCCTGGCTGGCTCCTGGGTGGCCCCAGGAAGATGAGGGCAGACACCCAGAGCCCACACCTTACCATCACCCCACCACACACATCCCTCACACGTATCACAGGGTCACACATCCCACTTACACATGTACATGTACACACACACACACAACACACACACACTTAGGCCCCTCACCGTCCATCTCCCCGGCCAGGCCTGGACCTCCTCATCTGTCAGCAGCAGCCTGGCTTCCACCCCCATAAAAACAGCTGTGTGTGTAGGGGGTGCCCTGTTGGTGCTGTTTTAATTCCCTTCGGGTCACAGACTGGATGAAGGGTGGCAGTGGAAACTTGCTCCCTGCCCTGAGGGAGGAGGTGAGGGACTGCTAAGCAGCCTTGTCCTTGGCTCCTAGCCGTGCATGACTATCCAGCCCTCCGTCCCCTCCCCAGGCTTTAAGCCAGGGGGGCTTCTCCACAGGCCTATAACAGGAGGACAGGTCACGGACAGGCCACAGGGGGCTGGAATTACAAAGGAGTTAGCACCAACAACAGGAAGCGGGTCCTTCCTTCCTCAGGCAGCCTCAGACTGGCCAGGGAGGAGGTTGAGGGGCCAGGCGAGGGCGCGCAGACAGTGCAAGCCTTTGTCCTTGGGCAGGTGTGGCCAGTGGGCATGCAGCTGAGGGGCAGGTGGCAGGCAGTAGGTGGCAGACCCCTCTGCTTTGGCAAGAGGCAGAATCCAGACACTTAAGGGAGAGAGAGCCTGCCTGCTGGAGGTCCTCCTTGCTCCTCCTGCAGGCACCATTGTGCCTCAAGGCTCCGGGGCCCCTCGACAGTGGCAGAGCAAAGCCCAGGCCAGCCCTTGCTTCCAGCAGTAGGAACATCGCACATCCGGGCCCTCTCCCGTCCGTCCTAGCGCTGCAGAGCTCCAAGGCAGGACCAGGGTCCTGGGAGGGAGCGTGGACTCCAAAATGGTGAAGGAGAGGATCCTGAGGGTGCACAGAGGTCCTCTGGGATGGGGAGAAGGACACCGGTGAGTCACTGAAGCAAGGGCAGGAGGCCACAGTTCCGAGGCGGCGAGCGCTACACGAAAGCCTCTGGGTTGGAGGAGCCGTTCAGCTTGAGGAAAAGCTTGTCATCCTCCCTCTTCTGCTGTAGCTGCCTCTCCAGCTGGCGCCGGTAGCAGACGAGGTAGAGGGGGAGGCAGAACCCCAGCATGCTCAGGGCAAGCAGCCCCACATTCACCTGGAGAAGCAGAAATGAGAGCTGCCGTCACATGAGGCAGGGGGCCGGGCAGGAGCTGTGGTCTTTGCAGAGCCCGACTCAAGAGCCTTCCCCACACTCAGGTTTGGACGAGGGGAGGTCACAGGAGGGGAAAGGAAAAGCTGAAACTGGACGAAGGGCCCAGGGCCCGTGGCTCCACATTCCAGTATCAGGATTCCCAGCTGAGAAGCCCTCGGGGACTGGGCCCTCCACCTCTGACCTCCAGTTGTGAATATCCAGGGGTGGGGCCAGGAGTGGGGCACGTTCACAGTACCTGGTTAAAAATGCCAACCCTCAGCAGGAGGGCTACCCCAAAATCAGGTCCAGAAAGGATACTCTTCTTCTCCTACACAGCCACCACTCACAGAGGGACCCTGAGTTCATCCTAACCGAAGTTCCAAACTGCCTCTCCTTGGGGCCCTCGAAGCTCCTGAGCAATGCCTCCCAGCTCTGAGTGGGCAGATGCCCATACCCCACTGCCCCACACCCTTCTTACCCATAGAGGGTCTCCTTGGAGGGGACCCATCATGGCCAGAAACAGGGGCTGCTGCAGGAGAGCGAAGAGTGCACTGACCAGCGACTGCAGTCCTGTGAGGCTGCCAAACTGGGTGGAGGGGTACCTGCCGGGAAGACAGGGGACCTGTCACCACAGGTGCCACTCTCAGGCTTTCCCAATGCTCCTCGGCCTCAACTTGGCCCCAGGTGTGCCTGCCTCGGATTAGTTTCTGCCAAGCAGTCCTGTGACTGTGAATTTCTCTTTCAGACCGGCGTGAGACCCCCGATTCTGGGGAGGACCCCACTCCACCCAGGCGTGCCCCAGGTCCATGGGTGTCTGGACGAGCTGAGTGGAAAGTGGTGCCAGCAGGACTCTGCGGCTTGGCAAACAGGCCCAGGGAGCAGGTTGGAGGCTGGCCCTGGCTCCGCTACGCCCTCATCCAGAGGAGCATTGTGTAATCACGGAAACTCGGCATCACACTCTTGGTGGACTCTCAGACTCTGCCAGGGCAGCAGCAACTTCCTCCTGGCATCGGGTGGAGTGGGGGACGACAGGCAGACCTGGAATGACCCCCGTGGGATGCTGATGGGAGGGGAGAGAAAATCTCAGCGAAATGTCAGGTTTTGTGGCCCCGGAGGTGAGAAGGGGCTCCCAGCGAGGAACAGGCTAGTCTTTGGTCAGAGACACACAGGAGACGGTGTTTGAGTTCCTTTTTTTTTTTTTTTTTTTTTTTTTTTTTTTTTTAAAGATTTTATTTTTAATTAATCTCTACACCCAATATGGGGCTCAAACTCAGAACCTCAAGACCAAGAGTCACATCCTCTACTGACTGAGCCAGCCAGGCGCCCCCATGGAGTTCCATTTTTGAGCCAAGCCCCAGCCCAAGGGGGAAAAACAACTGTGGTTCCTTCTGGATGTGTGGCCTCTTGGAAAAGGAGGCAGGTTTCATTTTAGCCAAGGCCCAAAAAGGCCAGTGGCAGAACCAGGCCCTTTGAGACTCTGGGTGAGAACAGTCTGACACATTGTGGGCTCAGTTATCCATGTCATTGCCCCTGTGGAAGGCCCTGTAGTTCTGGGCAGCCAGAGCCCTCCCCTGTCCTTCCCGTGAGCAACCAGGGGCAGTCCCGGGGCTCAGCTGAGCAGCCATCCCCGAGGCATAACAAGCTACATGGGAGCACTGACCCTGGCAGGGGAACTGACTTCGTGTTAGATGCCAAGGCTTGTGGGCACCCAACTGTCGGCCCGCTGACCCACCTCCCGCCAGGTGTGACCTTCCCTTGACACACCCAACAGAAGCCCCGGTACCCATCCCCTGGCACAAGAAGATGAGCCCAGATGGCAGGCTGGCCCCCTCCAGGACCTCGGTCCTCCCACGAACCTCCCTCAGGTCATTCCCTTACTGTCGGCCCCAGGCCACCCCCGGCAACCAGCACTTACACGGCGGCATACAGGCCCCCGACGGCAGAGTGGATGAATCCTCGCACAATCGTGTGCAGGATAAAGGAGAGGATCTGAGAGAGGGAGAGCAGAGTGTGAGCAGAGAAACGTGAGGGTCCCCACAGTCCTTGGGGTCCTGAGCAATGGCAGCACTGGCAACTGGTGTTGGCTCACACCAGCTCTCCAAGGGCCAATGCCCGAGTTGTCAGGGATTTTGTGAGCCAGCTATGAGACAGTCACTACGAAAAATTAAATTCATAAAGACTTAGAATTAAACAAATTATATAAAAACAGAGGTAACGGATACTCAGAATTCACCATTTCTTAATTATCTGTGCTCTGGGGGTTTCTACGTTTATAGTCTAGTACGGTGGGAGTACTGTACGATGGCGTGTCATTGTGAATCTCTTTTCAACTGCACATTTGGGGATGTCATATCAGTTGAAATCAGCCATGGTGAAAGCATTTACACCAAGGAAATTGGCAAACACCGAGTCAGGGCTCCTCCTGCCTCCACCCAGAGTCAGCAGTTATAGATGTACTGACACAGCACTAAATAGGAGGTCATTAATCATGATTTGATCTCCTGCCTTTGCTGACCTGAGGATGGTGCCCAGAGGTCTCTGTGCCTGGTCACTCAGGTCCTAATGGCTGATAGCTTTCCTTCTCCCTACCCGAAAGTTCAGCTTCTTAAAAAGGCCACAGCTGGCCGGCTTGGCAAGCTCCAAGAAGCATTTGTAGATAATTCCTCAGGAGCAAGAGAGCTGTGTCCATTTTGCCACAGCCGCTGGGACCCTTTATTCGCCCTTTGCACACGGCCCTGCCATCCTGCTTAGCAGCCAGGACCTGTTCCCAGGAATGTGGGCGGCAGAGGGGGCAGGGGCTGCTCTCTGCAGTGTTGCAAGAGGGCTGTGCCCAACTATGCTTGCTCACACATCCTTGTGCAGGTTCCCCCTTTCCACTTCAAGTGTCTTGTTGCCTTTTCATAACTTTTCTTTCAACAAGAACTAAATAAAACAAAAAGCAGAAGACTGTCCCTAGTGAGCATTGCCCCTTCATTAGACAAGGTGGTCAAGGCAAGGATCTATCGACCAGCCTTGTAAGAGGGGACAGCCACCAGGAAGCTGGGAGGGCACCAGGAATACAAAGACACTCTCACTGGGAACTGGAACAAGCCTCCAGTGGTTTACTCTGGTCTCACACAGAATGTCGGCACATGCACATGATAGTACCCATGGGTGGTACACAGCTGGGTGTTCAATGTACTTCAACACATGGCCACTTGCAAAAAAAAAAAAAAGAGAGAGAGAGAGAGAGAGAGAGAGAGAGAGACTCTGGCTTTCCTTCTGGACCTGGCCCAAGATACTATCTGGACTTGAGCTAACCCATGTGGAAGCAATGCCATTATTCAGGTCCCTTCAAAGTTCATAAACTTGAGGATTTAAAAATCGTCATAATAAAAATAAACAAACTTGGAGACTGGCACTAGAACACTTTCATGGACGTAAGGGTAGAGCTGGGCAGGTGACAAAATCTACTTTGCTTCCAATGTCTGCCAAAAGTCAGCTTTCAAAAGCAACAGAAATCTTGTGAAAAGGAATTAAACTTTTGAACCCTGATGCCCAGTGATCATCACAGTCTTTCCCAACTCTCTACAACACAGATACCCCGTAGGCATTCTTGTACCAGAGTAGATGGTCCCATCAATGCCACAGATTAGCTAGACCTCTTTGGACCTCAGGTTTCAACTGTGTGAGCAAAAGCAAAACAAGGAGCCATACAACTACCCCACATAGTTCTGGGGGACGGTATGGTGGTGGTATTCACGGCATGCAAGATGCTCAAAAGGCCATGAAGAAGGATATGCCTTCATAGAGAAGAGTTTTCTGTGAAAGGCAATCCCAGTTTCATTTAGAGCTCACCCCCTGCATTAAGCACAGAACCTGGCAAGTAAGAAGCCCTTGGTAAATAACAGCGGGCTGGTTGGTTGTTGGTTGCAATAAATGAATGAAAAGTCACCATGGTCTTTGTTGATGGCTTCCATGACACATCACGTCCCTTCTGGTCTCACTGTCCCACATCCCACCCGACCTCTCCTTCTCCCCGTACCCACCTGCAGAGGCAGGTTGGGAATGAGACAGGTCACCCCAAAGCCCACAAGCAGCACATTTGTGAAGGCGAAGGCCCGCATGGCGTTGGTGACTTTCTGGATCTGCCGGTCTCGCTTCTTCTTCTTCTCGCCCCTGTGGAGACAGAGCACACACCGGAGCTGGGAGCTCCCTGAAGGAGGATGGGCTCTCCCAGGAAGTCACAGCTTGCAGACGATGCGAGACTCGGAGACCACCCGAGCACATCTGAGGGACTGTCAGGGCGAGACCACCCCTAGGGACGCCCCCATTGCGCCCTCTGGACTGAGTGCTGGGTGTGAACCGCAGTGGAGAGGTTGGATGCAAGGTCATTAACACACTGCGCTGCCTCAGTGAAGACTGACGGGGAGGCAAGCAGCAGAGCACACCCAAGTCAGGATGTGGCGAAGCCCCGCTTCACCGCGGACTCCAACTTCACCCAGATCCCGCAGGGAGCTGATGATAAGCCAGATAATAAGTCAAACAAGGGAGGGAGTGGATTTCCCCTTTGGGGGCAGGAAGGGGTGAAGGAGAAACAAATATGCAGTAGATGGAATCAGATGGCTTTAGGACCTGACCTAGATAACGGAGCATTCTCTGTAGCTATTTCCTTGTGAATTCACTATTAGGGATCCCAGTCCCACTGCCCGCACAGATAACCCACGGACAACTGTAGGACATGCAACAATGAATGCCAAGTGCTGGAGACCCGGGGAGTCCCAGACCCACCACTTCCTCACTATGTGACCCCAGGCAAGCTACTCAAAGTCCTAACTTCAGTTCCCGCATTTGAAAAATGGGTTCAACACTAGTACGCGCCTCATCCAGGCGCTGGGAGGCTTGACTGAGATACTGTGCATCAAGTGTTTGGCATGGGGCCCAGAGCAATAAACAGTGGCTTATTATATTAAGGTGGAGTCATGAAGACAGCATTTAACTCACCCTCTGATCTTGGAGCCCAACCTTTACGAACGCGGGGCTCCTGTACCTTGTTTCATGCTGACAATTATGAACAGATCTAGCAGTTCTGCGGTTATAGCAGCCTACTACTCCCACCGAGTGGAGTGAGCCTCGCAGGCAAGCAGGACTTTACCACGGTTTACCACTGTGCTATTCCTGACTGGGTCCTTGGACACCCAGCGTCTGCACACAGACCTTCCTCCGGTTTCTCCCATTCTTCCATCAAGCCCAGTGCTTTTCCAAACTTTCGGGTACCAAAGAATCTCCATAACGAAGTGATACACTCAAATCTGTGCTGAGCTAAGTGAGAGAGTGTCGGAAAGCCCTTACGAATAGCTTTGGGCACGGCCCCCTCTTGCCTCTCCCGCTGACTTCAAAAGCTAGGCCACCCACCCGGTTCCTGCCTAGCAGCTGACTCTGGGGCCAGGAGCTAGGGGACAGGCCCCGTCTACGCACTGGTTGGCGTCTTTCTCCTCAGGTTCCTCAGAGGCATCTTCACACTCCTTCAGCCTCCAGTCCATGATGTAGCCAATGACAGGGGCTGTCAGCAGGCAAAGCAGCTGGAGCACACCGAAGATGGAGGTGTAGAGGCCAACTGGGGAGGAAAATGGGCTGCGTCATGGGGGGCCCCTAGCAGAAGCCTGAGGCAGGTGCTGGGAGAGCCTGAGACCCCGTAGGCCCTTCCGGGGTCTTCCACAGACCACCCCTCACCAGCCCTCACCGTGCGCCTTGAGGGGAGCCCAGAGACTTTGAACTCCAAAATCAAAGGTGGAGCAAGGGGCAGGCACCCTGTTCTCTTCTCCAAATCATCTGCTTATTTCCAAGAAACAGCTAATGAAATCCAGTATGTCACAACGACATCCCCCAGAGGCTCCAGGAAGCGTCTATGACTCGGGAACCACAAAATTACCAATGCCTGGGACTGAAGCTTTGTGTATGACTAGTCATTAGTTTTCTGCCTCTAGAAATATACCAGGAAGGCACCACTCACAGGGGCTCTGACGTAAGGGCTCCAGTCTTCAAAGAGCCTTAGAATTATGATGAGATTTTTTTTTTTTAGGCAAATAGAAGCTGAGGGTTGACTGCCCCTCCCCCACCCACAGTTCTGGCCAAGAGGGATGTTTCTTGGTCAGAGACTGGCTGGTGGGGATGTTGCAGTGTTCTTCGACAATCCCCCTGGCTTACCGGTAGCCATCACTGCATCAGGAAAGCAAAAGTAAAAAAGCAGAAAGGAGAGAGGTTAGCAGCAGAGATCTCAATGGTTATTATACGGAGATGGGGCGTGGTAGCAGGCCATCTCTGGGCCCAGCACACACATGCCATTTCCCACCAAGACCAGACTCTTAGAGCATCCAGGGGACGCCCAGCTTGAGTCAGGCTTCTGGGAGTGCAGGCGGGTGAGGCCCAGCACGGGCATCTGTTGATGGTTTCCGGTCTGCTGTGGCCTCAGTCACGTGCAGCCGGGGCCTCGTCACAGGCAGGCTGGTGAATCAGGCCTGCGGTGCTTGCCGAGGACCAGGAGGGGGAAGTGGCGTGGGTGCCGAAGACCCGGCCAACCAGGGCCCCTCATGTACCCTGCCCTGTCATACTCTGTCGCACCTCCTACTGCTCTCCAAGGGAAGGAGAGGTCAAAGAATCCGTCCTGACCCCCAGCCAAACACTGACACCATGGGTCTCCCTCCGACAGCCAGAGCCGGTCCCTTCTATTCCACCAGCTCCCTGAGCCTGAAGCAGCCCCTCTGGGGACAGCCGGGGCTGTGGGGGTCGGGAACAACAGCTCACAGGAGCAGAGTGGGGAAAACCGATGCCCTGTCAGCTGCAGATTGGATTTCCTGGCCCAACTTCCTCTACTTCTTAAAGCTGACTTTTTGAATGTGGGAAACAGTTGGGAAAAAAAAAAAAAATCC